CTCCGCTCCCTTGGGCTGGCTTGCGTAACCGCCGCGGTCGCAGGAGGCCCTCGCGAAAAGGTGCTCCGAGAGGCTTGCCTGGGCAGTGCCTAAAAGCTGTGGTGGTGGTGGGTCAGGTAGTCGTACACCCGCTTCTACCCCCGTATTTCATTTAGCATCCGTATGGCTTTGACTGATTTCCTTTTGGTACCTCTTTCCCAGACCCCCCTAAAGAAGACTAATGCTCTCATTGCGCAGATGGGAATAACCTTCCTAAATGCAGTAAGTGTTTACATTAACTCTTTGAACTTCTGAGGTGTGCCTGTTTGTGTGGTTCGTATCTTAGGTCATCTAGGGTCTTAGAACTCATAAATAGGTTTATGAAGCCTTTACATATGTGTGTGGGTTTTTAAAATTCAATCTCAAACTACTTCTGGGTTTCAGAATGAATATAGTTCAGGGTTATGCTCATAATCTGAGAGGGCAAGTTTCGCTTCCTAAAAGCACTTGTGCGAACTTCCTTAAGCTGCAAAGTAAACATGAGTAATCTGAATTTTTTATTGCAAAATAAGAAGCTACTTAAAACTTTCGGCTTCATGCACACTGAAAACTCACTTCTTTCATATCCTGATGTATTGCCATGGCTAAAATAATGGAGTGAATCAACTGGCAAACAGTATCATAATGGGTACTTGCTACTGTACAAGAACCATGTCTAAATGGTGGTGGTGAGTTTGAAGGGCGTATGTTGCAGAAACCTAAAACCAATTTTGTGTGCAGCTTTTCACTAGTGAAAATATTTGGGATGTAATGCTGTGTGTCCAGAAAGAGGCTTTAATGTTGGTGAACATTTTAATCAACCTGTTAGCTGATATTTCAAAGCTATACATTTGGAGAAAAATTGTTTTATAATGGCCATCTCGAATCTCTTTATCCTGTCTTTCCAGTATGTTCCCAGTGCACTTTGCTGTCCCAGTCGAGCTAGCATTTTAACAGGAAAATATCCACATAATCATCATGTTGTCAATAACACTCTGGAAGGAAACTGTAGCAGCAAGTTGTGGCAGAAGATTCAAGAACCCTACACCTTCCCGGCGCTGCTCAAAACTATGTGTGGTTATCAAACGTTCTTTGCTGGAAAGTACTTGAATGAGGTATTTTGTGCTTATTTTTTACTGTGATGCAATTCATTTGCATTTGGCCACCTTTTTAAAACATTCAGTGATTTCTGTGTTTGTTGTAGCTGGTGGTGGATCCCCAGAATTCTTAAAATGGTATTACTTGGATGAACAGTTCTCTTTGCTGAGATGGGATAAATGTGATGCAAAGTTCAGATCTTTAGCTTGACTTGGTTAAAATCACGTTCTTCGGTGCCTGAATGTTTTTGAAAGTTAGTTTTGAAAGGGTGATAGAATCCAAAGGCTTTTCTAGTATGCTTGGGTGTGTTAATTTTTAGAGATGATGATTTTAATGACTGGGGAAAACAGATAGATGATTGGCATGTGGTATTGAAGAGCACCATCAAGCTAGTGCCAGACCAGGCACAATGTTACAATAACGTTAAAGAAAAAAAATCAGGTTGTATCAATATCTTGACTGATGCATCCCGTTGGATCAGAGGGCTATTTTCTTTTCAGCAGTTAGTATGGTATTTTGAATACTAAATGTCCATTGAGGCCAATTCATTGGGAGAACAGATATTATTGGAGCTCTTTACAGAGGTTACCAACACTTCATTATTGAATCACTTGTATGTGTGTGCTTTTGGTTTTTTCTAAGCTTTGGTTTGTAGTAGTTTATGGTCAGTTGTAAAACTCTGCACTGGAAGCTCCTAAGATCAGGTGTTCCTCTTGTCTGATGGAATTGTGTTTGGAGCCAGATGAGTTACAGGGATCTTAACAGCATTATTTTCCTTGTGTCTCTTGGTGGAAACTGTTGGTGGTATAATAGAGTAACAGGACGTGAATTTTCATAGGCAGGCACAAATTTGTTTCTGCCGATGTTACTGAGGCAGCTAAGGGAAGGGACACTTATCTGGCTTCCTCTGAGCATCCCTTGACTCAGCATAGCCTGCTGCCCCTGCAGTCAGGCGAGCCATGTAGATGGGAGAGGGCAGCCCTGAGAAAACCCCTTGTGTTGCTCTGAGGCACCCTCTGTTTCAACTTTGGCAATGATTCAGCATCTCCTTTCCTCTTTTTGCTGGCTTAAAGGCTAGTTGTTGTAGATTATTTGTCACTGAGGTGACAAGAGGCTAGCACGGCGTAAAGTTCATACCCCTTTAGGAGAAGGATGATGGAAGCTGTTGGTCTATGCGAAACTTTCTTTGGTATCTTGTGAACTGTTAGCCAAAGCCTAAGAATGCCTTGTTGCATGCGTGTTTTGATCACCCCTCATTACCTGATGATGTACTGTGTGTCCTCTGGGATCTCTGCGTATTTTTGTGTGCAGAGTAGAACAGGGAATAAAACTGGAATTTTACTGGTGAATGCCAAGCTTTTGGTTACTGACTTTCTAGTTATTTAACCCTGATTTCTTTCTATACATGTGTGTTGTCTGTGCATATATACACGTGTTTTTCCATTCTGAAATTGAATTTGACTTAATGCAGTTTCTCACTAGTGTTGTACAAAGCATGTGAACGTGAAACATAACTTCTAGCTTTTATTCATTGTAATTGAAACTGAGATTTGTGGTCTGTCTCTTTTTCAGTACGGAGCAGAGGATGCAGGGGGAGTAGGTCATGTCCCTCCTGGATGGAGTTTTTGGTATGCTTTGGTATGTGACCATTCTGGTTTTGAAATACTTAATTTCGGTTGCTTTGTAATCCAACTTGTGATCTCATTTTGCTTATCATAAAAGAGCAGGCACAGAGCATCTAACAACTTAATGCAAATGTTTTTCCCTTTTTTTTTCCTCTGTTATGTATCAGATCCTTGGCTATCACTCCTACTAAGGTGCCTGGGGAAAACCCCAACTTGTAAAGCCAAAGCAGTGTGAGATAGCAGTAAAATAAGTTTTGTTGTTGGAGACCAGTTCTGAGAATTCTTGCAGTGTTCTTACGACAAATGCTTATAACCTATCTGACAAATGCTTGTTGGCAGCTCATTTTGATTATTTCAAATAATCGGTGTACGTGTTACTTCGTATAAATAAGCACCTGATTTTCTTTTTCACAGGAGAAAAATTCAAAGTACTACAACTATACTCTTTCAGTAAATGGCAAAGCACGAAGGCATGGTGAGAACTACAGTGTAGATTACCTGACAGATGTACTGGTAAGAAAGTTTGCAACACGTGTGTTACAGAAGCTGCTTATGACCCGATAATGCCTCATGCTGGGGGCTTTGGGAAGGGTGGGGATGATAATTTATTAGGCTCTATTAGCTCATGATTGAGTTGTCATGATGGTGGGTGGGTATTAATCAGCAGAGCAAGATTCTGGGTATGTTTAGAAGTGGCGAGTTGGTGTGTACGAGCTGTGGAGGGGAAAGGGATTCCAACTGCCCATTTGCCAGCCGGTGGCCTCACTGGGAGGTTAATACTGATGGTTACAGTGCATGAGGAACATGATGCATGTAGGCAAGGACTTAAATTACTTCATTGAAGGATGTGTTTCATTACAATACACAACTTCTGTAAGAGATTAACTGGGACAAGACTTCAGTGGGAAGTTAAGAATGTAAAAATAACTTTACACCGCGTTTTGTTTGTTAGATATTATGGTGTGTTAGTATCTTGTAACCTCTAGCCACACCAAACTGATAACTTGGAAATATTAAAGGCTAATCAGCCCTCCATAGTGTGAGGGGGCAATATATGGACTGTGCAGAATGTGTAGCTTAACCTGTTAAGGTAAAGAGAGGTAATAAAGATATTCAGTACTGAAAGGAAAGTTGGAAGAGTTACTTCAGCTGCTTTGAGACCCTGTTTAGCAAGTAGTATTAGCTTGGAGGTTGGGGTGGGGGGAGAGGAGTGTTCCCCCCTGCCAAGCTGGAGTCTTAAAATTGACGTGCTGTTATGGTGGATGAGTTGGTTGTGCTGGGAGCTCACATGCAGCACTTGGGAAAACTCTTCTCTGAGAAGTTTCCCCGTGCAGTTGATTTGTAGGCTTCCATTGAGACCCTAACGAGTTTCATTCCAGTGGGTTCTTGAACAGACAGCTGCTTACTAGGAACAGAAGTGATTGATGTTTCTTGGGGTACTGAACAGCTGTCTGATTAAATTTAGATTTACACTGTCTAAAGCTAGATTGGAATTGATAAGCCAGAAGTGAGACTATCCTATTACTGGCATTGTACTGGTCTTTTTTGATCCTTCAGCAGCTCGTAAGCATTTTGGCCAACAGGTCATTGCTGCATAAACCTCTTACCTGTGGCGTTACCTATTGACACAGCAGCGTGTTATGATTTTCCGTGTGTTGCATTCTGCCTTCTGCCTGGAGTTACCAAATACGTATTCAGCATTTCAGAGCTAGTGTTTGAGTTTAATTCACTCGATGGGCAGTGCAGGGGAGTAAATTGCTCATGCAAAGTTGCAGCATTGCTTGATGTGATGCACAAGCTTTCTTGTCCTGACTAAGGACACTGGGGCACCCAAGTCTGGTATCAAGAACCTGAACAATTGGATCTGTCTACTGCAGTCCTGACACATTGCAGTTTAAGCTACCAGCAAAATCTAAATGGGCTACCTCTGGGAGTTCACCTGCATCATACTGAGTTTGAGCCAGGTTTTTGAACTTCACATAGTTCTTATCCTCCCTTAACTCTTGTTATCATATAACTGAAGTCCAGCCCTACTTGCTTAGATGTACAAGTTAGGAGGAAGAGGAGGGAATTCCTCTTTAGGAATCCTATTGTTTCTTCCAGAGAAATAAAAGGATACCCAAAGTGGGGTACACAGACAGGAAAGGAAAATGTTGCAAGATTTGAATAGCAAAGAAATCATCTGCCAGTAATACCTTTGAAAAGTTTAATTTCAAAGGCTGACCAAAGGAGAGTGAGAATGGAGCTCACAACCTCTTGTAACTTGCTACTTGAAATTGTGTATAGGCAGAGACGAAACTGAAAGTGCAGTGGTGTGAGTGAGTGGGGTTTGGCACTGTCCTTCACTAGAGCTTCTGGCTTCGCCAGCAGATACGTGGCACCGCTTATAAACTAGGAGCTTGCTATAGAATGAGTATATGCTAGAAACAGTGGGGCTGAGAAATTTTTTCAGAATAACGTGAACATGGGATTTTTTTATCACCAGCTGCTGTTCTGGGCATTTGTAGATGAGCAAGCAATAAGTTTCTGAAATAGTTTAAATGTTCCCAGTACTACTGAGCCCTAACTAAGTTATGAATGTCTAGTTTGGATTTTTCAAGTACTTGCTGTTTTCCTTTGGAGGTGTGACTTCTCTTCTCCAACAAAACTGTTCACAGGCCAACATGTCATTGGACTTCTTGGAGTATAAATCTAATTTTGAACCTTTCTTTATGATGATCTCAACCCCAGCACCGCACTCCCCTTGGACAGCCGCTCCACAGTATACGAAGAGCTTTCAGAATGTCAGTGCACCACGAAACAGCAATTTTAATATTCATGGGAAGGTAAGCTAAATGGCAAGAATCTGCACAGGTTATTCTACGGGTTTGGGAGAGCAGTAGGCAGTGACCCTGACTTGCACATTAAGTTTAAACAGTGAGAACAGGCTATTCTGTGACTACTGGTTGTTTAGTTATGTTAATCAGCCTTTCAGGATAAGAGAGGTTTATTGTGACTTTGAGATATTTGCGTACCAATATTTTATAAATAAAATCATGTAGTGGCAAAAATAAGGCAGTACAATGGAATTACGATTGATAAATGGAAAATTAATTCCTTGTCCAGTTCCCAGACTGTTCTGAAGCTCTTTCAATGTTCTTTCATTGCTTTCTGTGTTCAGGAGAACACAAAGGCTCAGGCGAAGAATGAGGAGAGCTCTGTCTTCCTGCGCACATGTGCTCGTGTGGCTGGCTAGTACATTACCTGAGCTTGTGGCAGAGCTGCCCCTAGGTGACAAGCACGTCAGGCTAACCAGAGGACTTTGCGAAACCGTGAACCACAGAGCCCAGGGTCACTAAGGACTTTGCGAACTCGCCTTTCATTTGTTGAAATAACCTGTAACCAGAACTGCTGAGCCTAGTGTTACAAACTCGCAGACAGCCTTGTGACAGGACAGTACCTTCCACTGCCAGTAGACTTGGCCAAATATGGTCTAGCTCAGACTAATCTGCTGTGACTTACTCTGCCAGTAAGTGAAAGTGAAAGTCACAAACAGTTCATCTGGTGATATGTTTAACTTACAGAAGTTTTGTATTTTTGATTCAATTATTTTTAAAACATAGAACTCGCTACTCTTCAGTGTTCAAAGGATTCACTTAAATTTGCTCCTAGTCTGAAGACTAAGAGATAACATTGCCTAAATGTGTGTCTGGAGCCCAGTGATACCTCTTCTAAGGTCACTGTGGCTCATGTAGTACAGGGTGAAACTTGGTTTTAGCTGAGGATTGTAGCTTGCAAAATGACCATGTGCTTATCAACGTGATATAAAAACATGAATGGAAGGGGAGAAAAGGGCTGCAGGCAGTAACAAATATGCTAGCCCAGCCCTTTAAGTTTCAAACTCAGGAGTGGGAATCAGACTGGTTTTTCTCCATAAAAGGATCCCGAACTTTGTCTTTAAAACGACTACTCTAATAACTGGATGCTTTTTAAATAAGTGAGCCAGAAATAACTTGACCAGCGAAGTCAGCAGCTAGCCAAAAGATACAGTGTGGGAGTACCCTTATGTGGAGCAAAAGCTCTGCGTATGCCTATATAGCACAAAGCAAAATGACAGACTTAGTTAATGTTCGGTAGTTAATGTCTGTGGATACAGCAGTTTTACTGTGTTTCACCACAGGAACAGACTCGCATTGCCCTTCCTCCTAGACACAACAGTTGTGATCACTGACAGTGTGCGCTTCTGTAATTGGCAGCGTTGTGCTCTTGAAGCCTGCCTCCTCTTTGAGCTTCGCTGTTTTCTAGGGCAAGCCCAATTCCTGCAATAGCAGTAAATGTGTACATAGGCTCAGACCCTCAAGTCATGGATGTTGCAACGCTTGCTAGACGGTCTTGCATTGTACAGTCCTGATTCCTAAATTAATGTTGCCTCGTTTCCTTGTACAGTATGTGGGCAAGGGGTACTAAAAGGAGCCACGTAGGCTGAATCTCTGCATGAAAAACAGGAGTTAAGCGGTTGTCAGACTGACCAGTGATGTGCGCTTTAAAGTCTGCTTAGGATCCTCAGCTGTGAACTGTATCAGATGATGGGTAGCTGTCTGGTTCCCCAAGCAGGACTACTGATAGCCCAAATGAGTGGTTTGTCTAAGCTGTTCCGAGGGAGAAGCTGATCAAGATATATGTTGGGTATTTCTCTTGCATGCATTGTTTATCCTGCAGCATCGGAGCACAGCTGTGATCAGATTCTGCTGGCAAGATATGGCTCAAGATCTCCTAAAATTTCTTTGAGAGTGGGACACAGGGAGGCAGCAGGACTGGTGGGCAGCTTTGTATGTAACCAGTGAAAGAGACTTGACAGGGACTGCCAGGGAAGCAGATTTGAGGACTCTGAGTCAGTGTGTTTTATTGGAATCCACACAGGTGTTTAGGTGCTGTCTGAAGTTTCTGAAACTTCAGAGAAAGGTAGGAAGAACAAAATAATCCATAAAAGAGGATTCTACTGCACTAGGCGACTTATCTGCCTGAGTTACCCAGTGTGATTGTGCCTTATGGAGGGAGGGCCTCTCCTAAGCCCACCTCCTGTGAAAGGTGGCTGGTGCACAGGTGACGTTGCCAGCTCCTTTGTTCTCTGAAGGCCTGCTGCTGAGCTGGGGATGGGGTTTGTGATGTTGTTCCTTTTTTCCTCTCACCCAACGCACAAGTCCGAGATGTTTGGTCTTGATTATGCTGTGTTTTCTTGCTGAGATAGACTTAGTGTTTCTCCATGGAATTGTTTTTGCAACTACTAGAAAAAGAGAGATCTGAATACAACTGAGTTAAAATAAGCTGGACTTGGTATTAAGTCTCCTTGCTCAAAGTCTTTCCTTCAGTCAACAAGAACAGAAAACAGGGGAACTGAATTGCAGGAGATGTGAGTCACCTGGTTGTGAGTCCCTAAAGCCTGAGCCTATTCAGAGTCATTTGCTTGTGACAGGAGGGAAATTGTGTAACAAGAGGCCCTATGGAGTGGAGTCACCAACTAAATACAGGCTGAAGCTGAGGGTGATGAGCAGGACTTCTCTGATGTACTAAATGGAAAAGTATGAACCTGCATTGACATGACTTTCTCCTTTATTCTGCTCGCCACTAACACTAACCTTCATGTTGTTCACAGCAGACCTTCCCACGTGTGTGTACAGCAGCTGACCCAGTTCAGACTGGGATGTGGGAGTATGGCTTTTTGTATGAGTTAGATCATCTCTGTTACTCTGGGGGGTTGGGTGAGGGGAGAAAGGGAGGGGCTATTTCTGATAGTTGGGGATGCAGCTAGAAGAATCAATAACACTTCTGCTGAAGAAATACTCTTGTTCTGGAGTCAAAAAGTCCAAATAAATTGGTAATGTTTCTGCTTCCCTCTGTAGTCTCCAGCCCTGAGTTCATAGGCTACCAAGAATCCATAGTGACACTGTTTACAGATCTTTGTCCTCACCTGTCTGTAAATTAGTCCAAATTGCTTTTGATGCAGGAGTTTCTCCTCACCTCTCTACCCACGTTAGGACACTCACTAGTCTTAGTCCCAAAAGAACCTCACTTTTAACAACCAAGTCCAGTCTTACAATGCTGCTCTGTCCTTCGGATTTCTTTCATCAGACCTCTCACAGGCTATCGAGACTTCGATCTCCAGGAGAGCCTTCCCTAGCTCCTTTCACAAATTTCTTCCCTGAACTGCTTTGAAAAGATCCACAGCTATTTTCTCCTCACCAAGGGCTGAGCATAAGGGAGCTGTAGTATAGTTTACTCTTGCAACTTAGGTTTTTATATGAACCAAGAGGGAAAATTGGGGTCAGGTCAGGTTGATAGCATTGCCTGGCTATTTCACAGGAATCGTGTGGGTGTTTTACCCTAAACAACATTTCTGTTGTAATAGGCCTAAGAAAGGTTTTAAAGCTGGTATTTCTCCCCTGATCTTTTTCTCTCTTTTTTTTCTTTAGAACAAGCACTGGTTAATTCGACAAGCGAAGACTCCAATGACTAACTCTTCGATACAGTTTCTTGATGACGCTTACAGAAAGCGGTAAGAATTTCTTTGTTGCATAAGAGTTCTACTCAGAACTTTTATTTCTTTTTAAAAAAAGAAAAGGTGTTTTTTAAAAGGGCTGTAATAACTCTGACAATAGATGTCAGATTACCTGTAATAGTTCTCTGGCATCTGTCTCAGCAGACCTGACTCTGTTTACTTTCTGCAAAGCAACTTGTAATTGACTTCAAAAATATTTTGCTCCCAAATGCTGCTATTGTTTATTGTAAAAAAAGACCAATCACACTCAGTGTCTCTACTACTTCTATTTCAGTGCGCAACAGGCTTTCATTAAAAAATGGCCTTACCTCCTTCTTCACTTGAGTTCCAGATTCTGACATGATGTACATCAAACGTGATTCATTTCTGTGCCAACTAATCCGATTTACCAGCCTTGGCTCTCAGTCTGTGGTCTTTTTCTGTGGGAATGCCTGACTGGCCAGGGCGGGTGCTTGGTTCCTTTTTATAAAAGTGTATGTGGGGAGTAATGTGAAGATACCGCTCGCTCCCTCTTTTTAATAGAAAGGAAGGGTATTTGTTTACACTGTAGGTGTATCTTCTTGAAAAGCTCTGAAACAAACAGTAGGTTAACTTTGTGTTAAACTCCATTTTGAGCAGTTAATCAGGCATGAGTTTCAAGGTTTTTTCAGGCTCTTGCTTTATAAAACCTGAAGGTAAAATTATGCAACAAAATGTTAAATTAAAGATCCTGGAGACAACAGGATCCATTAATTGAATATCTCTAGTTAATTCAGCATAATACTAGTCTGTGGAGGCTTGTTACTGACGTACCGGAAGCAGTCACTTGTCTCAATAGCAAACCCCATAACAAAGGGAAGAATAACTTGTAGCTGTTCAAGGCTTTAGGTGCACTGGAACAGTGGACCCTGATATTACATGAGTAATACAAAATAGCTGTTTTCAAGCAGAAAGGGTCCCATATAGACAATTACATTCATGGAAGTCTTGTATTTTAGTATTAAAAACTACACGTAAAGAACTAATAAGTGACCTTGCAGGAGATAACTGACTCTTTGCCACCGTGTTGCTTCAAAGTTGGTCTTGACTGTCTCCAGATAAGAAGTAATCGGCATTTTGTCGTCTTTCACAGACACTACAGAATAAAATCAACAAGAACTGAAGACAAACAGTCTATTTCTATCTTAAATTGCAGCCTCAAAAAGTACAGTGTAGTCATGTATGAAGTTTGTTTTCAGAATTTGCAAGCAAAATAATCCACTTAGAGTGCGTATGCTGTTGATTTGAAGCAGAATACAAATTATTCTGAAGTTCTCACACTCTGATATGAATTGCTTTGTTTTTGTATAGGTGGCAAACTCTGCTGTCAGTAGATGACCTAATAGAGAAACTAGTGAAGAAACTGGAGCTGAATGGAGAACTGGACAACACGTACATCTTTTACACATCAGACAATGGCTTCCACACTGGTAAAATTTTCACTGGTTACTGAACGTTTGTAGAAGATCCAAGAATCGTGTAACACTTCACCCTCATGACTGCTCCAGAAAATGGGAACAGCAGCTGTGGAAAACTGTAGACATGAGAAGTACTGATTTGAGTTGCAAAACAATCTGGCATTGCAGTGTGGGGTGTTTGGGGATTGTGTTGTTTGGGTTTTGTTTGGTTGTGGTTTTTAGCATTAATCTCTACCACTGTGTCCTGGTATGCATAAAATTAGGACAGAAATGGAGGAAAGGTCCCTGTTTTGTAGGAAAAGCTGACATGGAAGAGTTAACAGGTAAAAACCTGTCAAGGACCTGTCTGTATCATGTTGCACAACTGAAAATGCAGTATCTAAGCTGTTAAACTCTGTAAGATACGGCTTATACTTCAAAGTTGTCTGTTCCTATGCTCCACTTTGTTAATGTAGTTCAGGTTAAGAACCTCTCCTGACTTAAAAAAAATTGGCCGCTGGAAATTATGTACCACCAGACTCTTAAAACAAGAAGCCATTTAACTTCTTCCATTTTCTGTTGTATAGGCCAGTTTTCTTTGCCAATAGACAAACGGCAGCTGTATGAGTTTGATATCAAAGTTCCATTGCTAGTTCGAGGACCAGGGATAAAACCAAATCAGACAAACAAGGTAAGAAGTGAAATCAGAGTACGGATTTACTTTTAATATCGTTTCATAGTTACCAACTTTAGGTAATATTTTATCCTCCTGCATATGTGTGTCAATGAAATGAAATACATGGAGTGGTGGAAAGTGCAAAGAACGTCATTCTAACAATGCTCCATGCTCTTGCTTGACTCGGTAAATTTAAGTAACTGCAGGCTACAAAAGCAAACAAAGCGTGAAGCTCACTTTCGAAGACCGTACCATTGCTTTTGCTAACGGGGTCTGTTAAGCCTATAAATATGAAATTAAGTGGTGTTTAGGTGTACCTAAAATTACAAATACTTAAAATACAGGAGTCTCATTATTACATCTGTTGGGTTCTGGTCTTCTGAACTAAGTTTTCCTCGCCCTGCAGATGCTGGTTGCAAATATTGATTTGGGTCCCACTATTCTGGACATTGCGGGGTATGACTTGAATAAGACCCAGATGGATGGGATGTCACTGTTGCCGCTGTTGGTAAGTAGATGGACGAGGACAGTAGTTGTTCTTCAAGGGAATAAGACTTCCTTCAATAGACTAGGTTGACTCCTAACCCAGATTCTTCCCTTGATGTCATTTTCACATGGGACATTCATAGCTCAGTGAAAAAAGTGGGTATCTTGTTTAAATACAGATGTACGTTCGTAAGCCCTACAACTTTGTGGTCATTTTGTAACAGAAAGTTGTCGTCCTCTGGTCAACCTTCCTGTTTTGAAGGCTGTATCTTGTTTCCACCTTGCATCTTCCCTCTCCTTTTCCTTAGGATTTCTCAGCATAGTCCCAGGAGAAAAGCAGACTGTTTAAATCTTGGGTTTGCCTAAGTTTTCAGTAGAACTAGTGTTTCCCCCTAAACTCTGGCAGAATGCATGTGGTTTTATAAAGTAAACTTGACCTTTCCACTGAGTGAGCAGAAGCCTATTTAAATAAAGCTGCTTGCAGTTGATCCTTTTAGTTTTAATTAAATTTAGTCTATAAATTGAAGGCAGCTTACTTGGAAACGCAGGAGATCATCCAGATTTAAAATGGTGCTTTGCTTTTAAAACCTTGTATCCAAACCTTAAGCTGTTCTTTAGACAGAAGCAGGTAAAAGGCATCTAGTTTAAACTGATGGAATCAAAACTGTGAAACTCATTGTTTTGCTGTATATGCCTGTGATGGTGCTGTATGTTAACTTTAAACTTCCCTCTCCTTCTGCCTTTAAAATGCAACTACAAATAGAGCAGCTTAAAACTTAGTTGATTCTTAAAGCTGTTTATCTTTTCTTGTGCCAAGGGTATCTTTTTTTCCATCTGTTGCGGTAGTCTGATATAAACCAAAAAGAAACAGCCTCATTACATGGATCTTGTCTGTAATTCAGCAGTATCTGGCCCCATGGCTCCTGTTTAGTATTGCTGCATGATTCTTTATAAATTGAAGATGGTACATGAACCCGCACAAGAAGGTGTACTAATATTTTTGGAGTTGGATCCTCGTCTTCCAGTTACACAAGACGTTCTAACCTAAGGCTAAGTATTATTGTAAGACTGACTGAAACTAGGGACCACAACTCAAACTGCCTTGTAAGCAGCGGGCAGCATTAGTGTTATACCAGGCATGGAGAACTTCTTCTGTTTCACACTGCGGTGGGTACTAAGTCATGTTAACCTCTTGTCCTAGAGAGGAGACAAAAACGTGACATGGAGATCAGACTTCTTGGTGGAGTACCAAGGAGAAGGATACAACGGCAGTGATCCTACCTGTCCCGGCCTAGGACCTGGAGTCACAGTAAGCATGACAAGATCTGTTAATACTAGAAAATAGCTTCTGAACTAATCCTGTTTGCTGTATGGACTAACCTGGTGCTGTGAGCGAGCTCCCTGTGTCTTGGTGAGCAGGAGCTGGCTCTGTAGGTCCTGTGCAGCACTTAAGAATCAGAGGGGGACATCAGCTGTGCGGGGCTGATGCGTCCCAGGGGCCATACAGAACGCAGCCACCCTCTCAGTGGGAACTCTAGGGCCTCCCGGCAGGAAGGTGTGGGCTTGGCAAAGGGGGTGGCAGTGACACCATGTTCTTTCTAAACTTCCTCATTGGAGGGTTCTCACCTGTGACTATTGTTTAAGTTGCTAGGTACTTCCTGAGTCAAAAAAGGTTTGCTTTAAGTAAAGCATCCCACCGGTGGTGTTTGTAGTAGTGCATGTTGCGCAGTTCTCTTCAGTGTATGTATGTTAGCTTCCCTGACAAAACACACTTAATCACAATGAGTTTAATAACGCTTTCTCAAATTTAAAGAGCTGAATTTTTGCTTCAAATCCCCAGTGGGGAGACTGGCATGCGTTAGACTAAGATCCTGGTGTTTGTCAGTTAACTGCAGTTGGCTTGAGCTGGTAGAGACTCTAGGAAAAGGACTGCTAGTTCATCTCTTTTTCCTGCTCTCAAGTTTTTGTTCACTGCTCACTTCACAGCACTGCTTCCCAGACTGTGTCTGTGAAGATTCCTATAACAACACATATGCTTGTGTAAGGACACTGTCAACTTCCTGGGATCTGCAGTACTGTGAATTTGATGACCGGGAGGTAAGTCTGGCTGACTGGCAGGTGCCAACTGTTCACAATTGTGAGAGCGACTGTCGGAGCTCTTGTCTGCTCTCAAGGTTTCCACAAAGAACTCTGAAAAGCAGCCTAGCACTGCTGCTTGCAGGATAAACAGTGAAGTGTTTTATCTACTGGTGAGCTGAGAATGTGTGACCAAAACTCTGGTGGTGTTCTGGGAAGGAAAAAAAAAAAAAGGGGAGGGTAGGAGTGCAGTGAGGAATGGACAATAGCCTAAACTATGATTATCGCCTTCTGGTAGTGCCCAACAGCCTGATGAGGAGCTTTGCTGGGGCTCTGTTCTCTGTCCTACCCTAATTCCGTGTGGCAGAGTCTTCTGTACGACAGATTTTCTGTTACGCTG